GTTGGAGGAGCAGGAAGCCATTTGTCCAATTTCAGCCAAGTAACTCCAAAGTGGAGTCTTTACAGAGACTATGACTTTGGGTTTGTCAAGTTAACAGCATTCAATCATTCATCCCTCCTCTTTGAATATAAAAAAAGTAGCAACGGAAACGTCTACGATTCTTTTTCTGTTTCAAGGAATTACAGAGATGTCCTAGCCTGTGTGCATGATGGTTGTGAAGCAACCACCTTAGCATCTTGAACTGGAGCAGAAACCATCTATGTTTCTCCAAAGAAATTGAAAACTGAGAAATATAGATGCATTGAGACGCATATTGCTAGAACTAGCATACATTCTAAGATCTTTATACCCTCAAAATTATAGTAATTGATAACTTCATGATTATGGTTCAAGTGTGCTTAAGACACATATTGCTAGAATTTGCATACATTAGGTCTTTATACACTACAGTAATACTAGTATTATTTAAAGTTTTCAATTTCTCATCTATTTAAGAAATAAAGAGAAATATATCTACCCAATTGAACCGCATCTTTATCTTTTAATATTTTTTTGTAAGGATATGTTTTTATTTATTCCTCCTTCCGTCTTCAAATAATTGTCGTTTAAGATTGTTACATGGAGATTAAGAAAAGTAATGATTGAGTCAATAAAAGTAACATCTTTACAAAATTATCTTTTATTATTAAGCTTAAATGCACTTTTAGTCTCCCTATAATTAGTTTCTTAAATTTTTAGCCCCCTTTAAAAAAAACTAGCTATTAGGTTCCCTTATTTTATTTTTGGTGAACTTTTGTTGGTCCCTGATCATTTGTCTCATATTTTAATAACATGGCACCTCAATATGAACCGAGTCACATGCCACATCATTTAAAAATATAATTATTCATTTTTTATTTGTATTTGTATTTTTTATTTTTCCTGAAATAATTTATATAATTATATTAAATATAATAAGATTACGTCACTTCAACCCCTCATATTCCTCATTCCACCATTGTCGTTACTTCTTTTTCTCCAAGTGGGAACCCTAAAACTATTAGCTTTCAGAATCGAAGAAGATCATGAGCAAAATCCATAACTTGTTGCAATGTATCAACCACCACCTTCATCCAAGACGCACGAAGATGAAAAGTTCTGTTTCAGGTATGTATTTCTGTTTTGATGTCTATGCAAGTGGTTCCAAAGTGTCTTGTTCCCTAATTGTTGTCTGTGGTCCCAACATTTTCTAACCCTATTTGTTTATCCTAAAAGTTGATTGTGGTCCTAATGTGTGTCAACCGTAATTGTTTAATCTAAAACCCTAACAATGGAATTTGTCGTATACAGGCCACCTATCGAACATAAAGTTAGGCTTAGAATTCACCTTCGGGACACACTTGTGCATCATCCTGTTAAATGGTATATGGACGGATTAGTAACAAAAATAACTTGGGGATGGGATGTTGATTATATGTCTTACAAAGAGCTAGAGAAATTGGTTTATGAGGTGGGATATACAAGCATGAAGCATCTTTGGTATGTCAATCCTAGGGTTAGCTTTGCTAGGGGTCTTATGTAACACCCCACTTTTCCACAATAGCAATTACATTACATATATTAGAGTACATAAGTAGGATATCACATAATTCAAATATTCATAAAGTTTAAAGTCACTTTATTACTTTATTTATTCGAACGTAATCAATTCGGCAGCAGAATAATAAAATTAGTTCAATTCCATGTCATTACAACTTCAACAGCAAATAAAACTCCACAAATGTGTGGTCCAACAAAAATCAAATGAAAGATACGTAACAAATGAAATAAAACAAAATATAACAAAGGTTCACAGTTCCCGTGTTACGTATCAGAGCAACTCCTAGGACTCGATCAGGTAACACTTACTCCAATCACTACTCGGGTACCTGATTATTTGTACTCCCAGGGGTGCACAGACACAACAACACAAAAGGGGTGAGAATTTCATTCAATAAATATACGGTGAATATCACATGATAAGGAGTAGTAATCATACAATCCACACATCACACAGTACTTCGCAATATAACACATCGTTCACAGTAGTGCAACATCAACTCGAATCAATGCAATACAATGAGACCGACATCAACTCAATACATGTGGTACCATCAGAGCATAAGCCCTCATCACATATGTCAATTTGGGCAATAACAGGGCATAAGCCCTCATCACATATGCCAATTTGGGCAATAACAGGGTATAAGCATGCATCACAACGCCATTACAGGCCAACAACATGGCATAAGCCTTCACTAATGATATGAATGTAACATTAACATGCAACAACATAAATTTCTCAACCACAAGCAATGATCCTTCAACAATGTGGCAATTTAGGTCATCCATATCATCCTCATCATAATCATCAACATTGCCTCATAATGGCATCATAAGCAAAACAACATCGCAAGAAACAACTCATCGCTTCAGTGTAACAATAGGGAAACTATTCCTATCCTAATTTAGGTACTAGAATCATAATCCTTATCAATCATTTATATTCTTCAAATTAGAGTTCATGGTGTTAGCTACCTACTTCTTCGAACGACACATCAATCGGATTCCTAAAATTAAAGTTATGATTGATTCAAGAAAGTCCAAAACAACGTTCAGCTACTACCATCCATCGTCTGACGAAGCCCTATGTTTCCTGGAGAAACTTACTTCTCCTCACCCTTCGCCTAACGATGCTAGGCACGACGCTCTTCAGTAACTCATCCAAAAACTCGCCTCCTTCTCGCCTCTGCTTTCTCCTGGTGAAACATTGTCGCCCGACGACACTCCCTGTATCGCTGGACGATACTCTGTGAACAAGATTTTCCTGTTTGCGATTCTGCACTAAATCTGACCAATTTTCCCGTGATCTTGTCACATTACAGGTCCTAAAAAGTCATCTAAACATATAGTTTCACTATCTATCAATTCATCACAATGCAATACTTTTTGTACACCAATTACAGGTCATTTTTCATCATCAAATACTCTAATCCTAATTTCTATTACTCATAGGTTTTAGGTTGAGGTCTCACAACATCATCATCACAACAACATAATTTCCAAATAAAAAACACAATCATAATATCATAACTGATCAAATACAACAACATCATTCAATTCAACAAAGATCAATCATGCATCAAAATACACCAAAAACAACCTAAGAGGGAAAGGAACCATCACTATCCCTCTCATGTCAAATCACCAATTATAGAATCCCATTCACCCTCTTACCTTGGTTTACAAAGCTTGATTTCCTCAACAATGGTGGGAAATCCTTGACCTAGCCTTCTTTTGCCTCTTCTCTTTTCTCGTTCTACGATCTGTTTTTTCGTTGTCCCCCATCTCTCTCTCTCTCTCTCTCTCTCTCTCTCTCTCTCTCTCTCTCTCTCTCTCTCTCTCTCTCTCTCTCTCTCTCTCTCTCTCTCTCTCTCTCTCTCTCTCTTCTCTCTCTCTCTCTCTCTATCTCTCTCTCTCTCTCTCTCTCTCTCTCTCTCTCTCTCTCTCTCCTCTCTCTTATAACTCAAATAGACCCCTAATATTTAATCTCAATCTTGCCCTTCCTTCATTTAAACTAATTATTTAATTATTAATATTATAAAATACTATTTTATTTATAATAATTAATAACAAATAATATAATAATAATATTAATAATTATTATTATAATAATAGTACTACACTAGTATTCTCAAATCATCCCTCATCATCTCGACCTCTAATTTCCACCATCAGTATCACATATACCATTAAAACTCATCAACGCAAATAATCGCATCACATCATCTAATTATTTTGAATAAATAAGAAATAATCTTAAATAAATCAGGGTGTTACAACTCTCACCCACTTAGAAGGTTTTCGTCCTTCAAAATTACCCGATGTAAACAACTCTGGATAAGCCTCTTGCATCTTTCTCTCTAACTCCCATGTCGCATTCTCTCCAACAACTCCTGCCGAAACAACTTTCACAAGAGCGGTCACTTGCCTCTTAGGTTTCTTCGTCTCACGATCCTCGATTCTCACAGGTATGGTCTCAACAGTAAGATTATCCCGCACTTATACCTCGTCCATCAGAAATCACTTGAGATGGATCCACAATATACTTCCTAATTTGCGACACATGGAAGTGATGGAAATAACCAATATTTCCAATTGCATATGCTGTTGTAGAAGCTGAGACTAAGGATTCTTGGGAGTGGTTAGTAAAACTTCTCCTTGAAGACTTGCAGCCAATTAACAATATTACATATGCCTTTGTCTCAGATCAACAAAAGGTGACCATGCTCCATTAACTTCTAATATGTTTACTCTGTTAGCTTATCATGTTTACTCTGTTAGCATATCATATTAAATTCCTGTAATGTGTTTATCTTATCAGGGACTTGTTCCAACTGTTCAAGGTGTAAATGAGCATGTTGAGCAAAGGCTTTGTGTAAAGCACTTATATGACAACTGGAAGAAGAAATTTTCTGGGTTTGTTTTGAAAGAGATTTTTTGGAGTGCAACTAGGGCTACTACCATTCCAGAATGTGAGAGAGCAATGATTAGGCTTAAAGTTGTGGATCCTGATGCATGGAAAGATATCACGAAAGTGCCTGCAAAATTTTGGTCAAGATCACATTTCAAGACATTTGTTAAGCGTGGTCTTCAAGTCAATAACATGTGTGGGGCATTTAACAGAGCTATATTGAAGCACAAGGAAAAACCAATAATTACTTGCCTTGTAAAAACAAGCTAATGAATCTAATGAAGTTGTTATTTTGATTATGAGTTATGATTTTATTTATGTTACTTTGTTCAATCCACCAATTATATTCATTACAATTAACTTCAAACTAGTACAAGGTTAATAAAAAACAACATCTTCATTTCATTTCAAACCAACAAATACACTCAGTTGATTACAACTATCCAACAACTGTCAACATTAATCCTAAGTTGACAACAACAACTTAAGCACAAGTTTACACCAAACACTACTTCATTACAGTTGATAACACTAATCCTATTGCCAAAACAAATGTTATTAAAACAGAGAATTTCATCATTAAGTTTATTGAATTCAACTTTGTCTTTACTTCAGGTACTTTGATATTAGCTTCATCCACTTTTGCCCTTTCTTGATCTAACTTTTTTTGTAGTGTATTGATAATCTCCTTAGCTCTTGAAGATATTTCATCGTCATACCAAATAAAATGGCTACACCTTTTATAACCCTGTACCTGTAAGTATAACAACACATATGAATGAATCTACACTCAAACTCAGAAGACCCACACCCAAAAAAACATGTAAATAAGACATAGACATTACCTTATACATCCCACACAAAAAAAGCGTCGACCTGGGTTGGAATCGGTCCATGAAGTCATCAACAAAACTTAAAGCCCACACCTGCACTCGCTTCGAAAATGACATGAAAGCGTAGGTCTGACACTACTCGCTTTTGTGCATTGAGACATCTTCAGCACAAGATAGTGCAAAACAAAAAGGAAAGAAGAAGAACTATGGAAGACAGTTGACTTGAACGTACACGAAAGAGGAAGAAGAACTGTGAAAGATTTGCAACGAAGAAGAAGAATGGAAGATTTGCAACGAAGAAGACGTCGAGGGTATAAATTTATAACCTAGGTTTAATCTTATTATATTCAATAAGATTATATAAATCATATCTAGAAAAATAAAAAATAAAAAATAAAAATAAAAAATAAAAAATTAAATTTTTAAATAATGTGGCATGTGACTGAGTTTATATTGGATTACCAGATTATTAAAATATGTGACAAATGGCTAGGGATCCAACAAAAAATCACCAAAAATAAAATAGAAAGATTTAATAGTTAGTTTTTTTTTAAAGAGAGACTAAAGAATTAAGAAACTGATTATAAGGAGATTAAAAGTGTATTTAAACTTTTTTATTATTGATTGTAGTATATTATCATATTTAAAAAGAGTATGTAAGAGAGATAAAATTGATAAAAATTAATTATAATTGCACATATATGATTTTCCTTTTTCTCTCTGTTTTTGAAAATAAATAACATTCGCTTTTGGCTGAAATATTAATTTATGATAATTACTGTCAAGTAAGAGTTACTATCATCAGTTACTAGTATTGCAAGGAGGAAGCATAAGGATGTAAAATTCATATGGTATTATCATATGTCAAACTTAACGGCAGAACTATAGGCCAAAATAATACAATAAGTACTATGAACTACTATGAAGTAATAATATTCAATGGCTAGTTGTATGATGAGATCATGATTGTTGTGATTATCCAAGAATAACGCGGTTAAAGAGCACAATTTTCAAGGGAAAATAGCCGCAAGATTAAGCACATCACATGAGACTGACTGAACAACAAATTAGAATTGCACATAAGAAAGTGACACCTAAGCAGAGAAAATATCTCATAAATGTGAGGAATTTGTCAAACATCACAGAGATCGAGAAATTTGTGCAGAGTTTGATGATGCTTTGTTTGACTATGGAACTCTCATTCATGTGAGGGTGCTACAGTTCGATATTTATAAAGTGAGGTTCCTAGGAAATATCGATTGAGAGACCAAAGTTTGAGGCTTTTAATAGTAGATATATCTAACCAAACTAAACAAATGAAAAGATGCAATCATATACAAGTTCCGAAAATAGTGTGAAACATAATGTTGCCTAGTTGCCAAATATGCAACCTTATCCATTTTATCAAATTAAAAAATAACACATGTTGTTCAGCCAATTGACACATCCACGATTCATTGATTCCATGATGGTTTTTTTAGGCAAAGAGTTAAAATCATGATCCATAATTACAAGGGCCTTTTAGTAATTATATTTAAAAAGAAATATTCATTCATCTCTTCTTTCTTGGAAGTATAATATCCTTGATAGATAGCCAACGGCCATGACATTGACATCAAGAAAGAGACATCTCACCTCATCTAAGGGAAGAGATGTCATGTGAGTTATATATTCAATGAGCTCTTTATTGCTCTTTCTATTTTATAATCAACATAATCTTATTATATAAAAACACTTTAATAAATATTATTTTATTTTTTTAAAACAAATTAAATTACTACATCTTACAAGTTTGTCCTCTAAAACTTATAGAAAGACATATTATTAACTAAAGAGATTCTTACATAGACAATAAAAATTAAATTTACGTTTTTATAAAATATAAATTGACTTTTTATCTATTGATGTATAAGTTTAATAAATAAAGGAAAGATAAAAGTGAATATATTTACTGTAATGACGATTATAAAACTTACAAAAGGAATGATACAAATGATTGTTATTACTAGTCTATTTATACACAAAGTAAACTGTCACGTAAGCCCTAATAAAAATAATCTTAATGATTAAGTTAAAAGATACAAACTAGGAAATACTAAACTTAACAGCTACACTAACAAATTATGCTCCAGAACTCTAAAAGCTAAGCATTCTTCTAGGCGTAACCTCAGAAGCTTCTGCTTCTAATTAATAACAACTTCATATTACATCAAACTACTGCTTCTAACTAAGCAGTCTCAAAAGTTTACATCATCTGACTAACAACCATAGAAGCTCCACTGCTTTTGAATAACAATATCTTATGAATATGAATTACTTCCAACACCATCCCTTAATTCCTATTCAGCTAACAAAAACTCTTCAACACCAATTTCATCCCTCAAACGGATAAAGTGTTCAGTCTTGACATCCTTCGTCAGAAACATTTGCAAGTTGCTTCTAATTGCTACAGTGTGCAACTTCTAATACTTCATTTAGAAATGCAGATTTTTCCTTGAAAACTCATCTGACGCTGATGGCTTTCTTCTCCTTTGGAAGCTCAGTTAACTCCCAAGTCTTGTTTCTTTCAATAACATCAAGCTCTTCTTTCATGGCCTTCAGCCACACTTTCTTCTTAAGTGCTTCACAAGTTGACAACGCAACCACCAGTTGCTTCTTGGAGCACTAAGAAATAGGACTTTCAAGATACAAACAAAAGTATCTAGAAGTATTTCTTCTATCAACTCTGTCTCCATACAAATCAGAGTCTGAATAGCATATCAGCTATGCATCTGATCTAACATCAAAAGGGAATAACACTTTATATCTCAGAGTCCCTTCAATATCTTGCAGCTTGTCAAACTCTGCAAATCTCCTTGGTATTTTTCTGATTCGCTGTGGCCTCTGGACTTGTTCAGAATCTCCTTCTGATTCTGAAACTGTATCTCCTTCTGGACTTTCTTCAGAAATTTGATTACCACCAGAAGCTCCACCTTTGTTAGCTTCTGGACCTCGTTCAGAACCACTACCTTCAGAAATACCATCTTCAAAAGTTAGATAACCTTCAGAAGCTCTACCTTCAGAAGTTCCACTTTCAGAAACATGATTTCCACCAGAAACATGATCATCTTCAGAGGCTTATCCTCCAGAACCTACGTCTTCATAGTTTTCCCTTCTAGAAGCATGACCACCACCAGATTCAAAATATGGATCAAAATTAGATTCACCGTCCGACTCATCTTTAGAGTCTCTGGAAGATTCTTCATCATCTGACTCTGAATCACCTTCAGAACTTTCAAGTTCTGACTCATCTTCAGAAGAAGAATCTCCTTCAGATTCTGACTCATCTTCTGATTCTTGTTCAGACTCAAATCACCTTCGAATTCTGATTTGTCTTCAGCTTCAGAGTCATCTTCTAACTCTGAGCCATCTTCACAAACCTCAGATTTTAACTCATCTTCAGAATCTTCAGCGTCATCTTCTGATTCTGACTCATATTCAAACACTCCTTCAGTGTCAGAATATTTAGAGCCATCTTCCCCTTCAGAATCAGAAAATGACAATTTCACAGGTTCTTCATCAGATTCATAAGCCATCAATAACACATGTTCATCATTAGAATCTCCTCTGGCTATTTTTGCTTCTTCTTTGTTTGACCAACAATCTTTAGCAAAGTGGACAAACTACTTACAACAAAAACACTGGACCATTCTCTTGTCATACTTCTCCTTTCCCTTATGATGTTTCTTTCATCAGAATATAAGACTTATGACTTTTGAGACCTACCCTGTTTTCTCTGCTTCTGGTCTTTCTTGATAAAAGAAGCTATCAGAGCCTTCTCAATTTCCTTCTAAAAAGTTATTTCAGTCAGACACAACTCTTGTGCCTCTAGACTTCTTTGCATCTCTTCTGTTCTTATGTTGTCTAGATCTTTAGAATGTTCAATTGCTACAACAATGTAATCAAATTGAGGATTAAGCGACCTCAATACATTCTCTATGGTTATTTATTCAGAAATGGTTTCTCCACAAGCTTTCATCTTATTAGTGATCAAAATCACTCTAGAGATGTACTCAGAAACCTTCTCGTTGTCCTTCATGTTGGAATTCTCATATTACTTTTTGAGAGACTGAAGCTTCACCTTCTTCACTGATGCGTCACCACCGTAACATCTCACCAGTATATTCCACATGCCCTTTGACATCGTCAAATATGCAATCTTCACAAACACGTTCACATCCACACACTGGTAGATGTTAAACAACGCCTTCTGATTTTTCTTCCTCTTATCTCTTTGCGTGTTTCTCTACTCTTCCGTTGCATTTTCTACAACTGGAACATAACCTTCAATAACAAGCTCAAGAACATCTTGAGCACCAAATATCACATGCATCTGAATTATCCAACTATTCTAGTTCTTGCCATCCAAAATTGGAAGCTTGGTACTAAGATTTCCGTTTCCGTTCATCTTCAACCTTGTATAGGACACTCAGATCTCACAAATACAGTGTTTCCCATTCCCACCGAATTAGAAAATTTGATTCTGTTCAGATTTTGTTCAAGATTCAACATGAACTCAAGAACCAAAATCAATCACAATGCCTCACTGTTTCACTCGTGTTTCCCGTGGATTCTAACTGGAGCTCTAGATACCAATTTGTTGGTGCACAAGGTTAATAAATGAAGGAAATGTAAGAGAAAATATATTTACTACAATGATGGCTACAAAGCTTACAAAAGGAATGATACAAATGATTGATACTACTAGTCTATTTATACACAGAGTAAATTATCACGTAGGCCCTAATAAAAGTAAACTTAATGACTAAGTTAAAAGGTAAAAACTAGGAAATACTAAGCTTAACAACTACGCTAACAAACTCATCTCCAGAATCCCAAAAAGCTAATCATACTTTTGGGCGTAACCTCAGAAGCTTATGCTTCTGACTAATAACAACTTATGATTACACCAAACTACTACTTCTAACTAAGCAGTCTCAGAAGCTTACAACTTCTAGCTAACAACCACATAAGCTCTACTGCTTCTGAATAACAACATCTTCTAAATATGAGTTACTTCCAACATTATCATTGGAATCAACCTTAATTAATAAATAGAAGAAAAAATCTATTATGAA